TTTTTTTTTTTTTTTTTTTTTTTATAATGCTGAAGTTTGTTTGGAAAGGTGTTGTGAGTCACTGTCACCAGTCACTGTAAACTGCATCTCGCTCGATATTGGGATGGACGTGAAAATACAGCTTCAGGCTCTTGTGGCACGTTCCAGAGAGGTCCAGCCTTTGGGAGGACTACCCCTGCAAAAGCTTTTAGATGTGCAAAAGTTTCTGTTCCTGTGAGTCATGTGCTGTCATTGTAGTTTCTTTAGGGCTTATGTTGACGGATGAGACTGGCTGTGTGTCTGCCAGCTTTGGTCTCTGGTGGTGGAGGAAAATGAGAAACATTCTGTTTTCTCTGTGTGTTCCTTGCTTGGACTTCCTGTCCGCTGCTTATTGACTTCCCCCTGCGCTGAGCTGCTACACCCTTTCAGTATTGTCACCAGTCAACAGTTTCGGTGTCTGCCAGTGCAGTTGTGCATGATTTTCACAAACAGATAGACCCCTTTCAGATGGATTTTGCTGCTTCTTGTAAGATTTTGAACAGCAGCTGTGAAAACTGATGTAATACTGTTAATGTAAGCTCAGACTTACAGAAATAATGTAGTAGCACCAGTTTAACTAATTGGTGATGGTAATATGAGTAATGCTTTGTACAACCTATGTCAGTTGGAGCTGCTTTAAATTTACTTCAGTACTAGTGTAGGCAGAGTCATTCTGAATTTGAGTTCAGCTGTTTTCTTCCTATCTTGGGCTTTATTATCTTATACTTCAGAGGTAACTATGTCTATGGGAGTGCAAGTGCAAACCCTGTGACCTCTGGAACAAGTACTCGTTTTGCCCTGTTGTGCAGAAGGAGTGTCAATCCTACGTATTCTCTAAGAATTACATGAAACGAGTCACAACCAGACTGAAGTGAGGAGATAAATGGTCTTCAGGCACTAACGTCTCAAATTATATTCCAAGAAAGCCTCCATTCAATGGCCATCTAACTTTGGGTATGTCTTAGCTCATTACATGTCCTCTTTCTTGACCTTGGTATTCCTTAAGTTCATGCCCAAACTCTTCTTGAGAAGCAGGTTTGGGTTGTAGTGTTTTGCTCCAAACGTACTGACAGGATCAGTTTAGAAAATAACACCACTCGTCTAGTATGTCATGCAGTTTGGTGGCTTCTGGTATGGTGTGTCTGGCCTCTTGAATTATGATTTTATTTTTTTTTTCCCCATATACATTTGAATAGCTTTAATTTGGAAGATATATAGTTTACCTCTCCATCCTTAAACTGAGAGTCATAGTACTCTCTTAGGTAATGGAGATGTATCTTTGAAATTCCTTATGCTAAATCCAGGTATTTTACTTCCTTTGCACGTGCTGTAGCCATTAGGGTATTATATGGATGGTGCTGATGCTTCTTTAAGATTATGATCTCTGCCAAATTCAAGCCAGTAACTCTTATAAAGGAAAATAATATGTGCATCTTGTCAGGGCAAGATTCTATATGATGAATTTCAAGTGATTTTTTTTTTTTTTTTTTTTTTTTGTTGAAAGCAAGCATTAACACCTTAGTCAGTGCCAGTGAATGCTCTGAGCTGACCTTGCCAATAGGAAATAGCTTTTTTTTTTTTTTTTATCACACTTCTGAAGTGTCATTCATCAGGCATTTTCTGGGCACTTAAGAGCTTGACAAAAATTTCTGTGTTCTACCATTAAGGCTCAGTGCCTGAAAATTAGGTCTTGCAGCCCAGAGCTGAAGAAGGATAATACTTACCAAAAATAGGCACAAAAGCTCTTTAGTCCAACACCCTTTTAATTATTTCCATACAGAAATACTCTGGGAAAGTCTGCATATGCTCCACAGTGTAGATTCTGTTAATAGAATAGCTAAGGACTTAGTTTTGTAACTATACTATAAACAACTTTTATGGCCCAGCTACACTCATATTTGACTGCTGCCTTTTCTAGATCATTATACTTGCAGTATGGTTTGGAAGGGACCTTAAAGATCTTCAAGTTCCAACCCCCCTGCCATGGGCAGGGACACCTCCCACTAGCCCAGGTTGCTCAAAGCCCCATCCAGCCTGGCCTTGAACACCTCCAGGGATGGGGCATCCACAGCTTCCCTGGGCAACCTGTTCCAGTGCCTCACCACCCTCACAGTAAAGAATTTCTTCCTTATATCTAGTCTAAATCTGCTCTCTTCCAGTTTAAATCCATTACCCCTCTTCCTGTTGCTACATTGCTTTGAAACATCATTTGGTCTTTTGAGAGGCTTGTCTCTTCTACCATGCATTCACTATAAGCAACATTGATTCTTTTTTTTGGTTTTTATAACTAACAGAATCAATGTGATTTGAATACGATTTATCTCTTTTCTGTGTTCAAAGGTAGTAATGGTTTAGCATTGCTTCTTTCTTTCCTTAGCTACAGACAGACTGCTTCAAATAGTGGACAGCAGTGCTAATCTTGTAGAAGCATTGTAGAATAATGAATAGCGTAGCTGCAGCATAAGGGTTTCTCTTCTTGATAACTCTGAAGAATTCTGTATTTAATATTTGATAAATGTCAGCTTGCCTATCTAGTAGAAGTAGTGAACATATAGAAGCTAGGTAAAAGGTATGAGAAGCTATACGTGTTTGAGTCTGTTTAATTCTTCCTGTTCTGATTGCTTTGTAACTCTGAGTTTTGAATCAATTAAGCTGATGAGGAAAAAGTTCAAAACAAAAGTTTTATGTGAACAGTCCTATATTTCCATATCCTGGAATCATATGCCTATGTTCTCAGAAAGTGTAGTCCCTCCTGTTATAAGCTAGCATCCACGTGAAGGGTCTGTGGAGATTGTGCTCCTAACAGTGCTTGGTTTGCTTCAAGGTAGTGATTTATGGTGATTATATTTTCTAATAATTAATAATTGTTTCACATTAATATCATTATTATTATACAATAAAGGCTTTTAAGTTTTGTCAAATTCATTCTTTAAAAATAATATTTTACTCCAGAAAGTCTAAAAGTGACCAAACAGGCAACGTCATACCCATATGGTATGTTCCCATCATTGACTTGGATCTTTGTGTTCTGGCCTTTTTTCATTGCTTTCAAAATTGGCACATAAAACTGGTTGGAAATTAAAATGAAATTTATTGCATTCGGGTATTCAAGTCTAGAGACAAAAATGAATAGTTACGGAGTAACTTAGTTGAAAGAAATCACTTTTACAAACTCATGTGTATCAGGACTATGGAAGTCACCCTGGAACACAGCACATTTCCTTCTTTTTCAAATAAGCTATTTACTTTTTTGTTAATGCACATTTCTTAAATAGTTTGACTTAATTAACAGAATTGTAAATGTAAAGAAATTGTTGCTCCATTGAAAATTCTGTAATTACTTTGTAAAAGAAAAAAGCCACATTGAAATTTCATGTATTGCAATCCTGTTAATTCTGTGTAAATATGGTGTCTTTTCCTTTATAGTGAAACTTAGGTATGTATAACCTGTGTAAAAAGAATGATCTATTGAACAATGGACACTTGAAAAGGTAAATAAGTGTTGCTGGATGAATTTATTTTACAGAAAAGATTTCTTAATGAAGTAATTTAATTTCTTCACAGATAATGAAACTGCTGTATATACACTAATGCCAATGGTGATGGCTGACCAGCACAGGTAGGAGCTTCTGTAAATTTCCTTTTTTTTTTTTTTTTTTGGCTCTGAAAAACCAGCATGTTTGTTGGAGTTGCAGCTTCTAGAGCTTTCTCAGGAGTTCTGCTGCTCAATTGCTGAGATACCTTCTGTAGCTGAAGTTGCTGATTGTGTGCATCTCAGCATATTCTTACCTGAGAAACCTGTTTTACTTTCTGCCATAGACCAGAGCTGGGATTTATTCTGTTGATGCAAATAGAGAAATTTGTCCTAGGATGAAAATCAGAGCATTGTCTTGTAACTGAGTTGTAGCTCTGAGTGTGTATTGATGACAGAGAAGCTCGTAGTCTTGTTAGACATCTCAGAAAGACATGGAATAAGAGTCGGACGATGATATTACTGCTTGTGGGACTCCTCAGATGAGCAGCTCTTTCTCTTACCTAGTTGTCCTCAAAGTGGTTGGGTCCTTAGTGCCAGCTAGGTGGTGCTACCTTCTGCTGAGTTTTGTAGGCAAGCAGGTAGTAACTCTTACTGAAACTGTAAGCTGTTTATAAAATCAGGGTAAAAATTTTTTCTTCTACATAATATCTTCTTGAGATTGTGTGCAAGGGTTTTAAATTATGTCATCAGCTCATTACTGGAGGTTGAAATCAGCAGTTCACTTGCAGTTTCCCCTATTTTGAAATATTTAATCTTAACTAGTATTTTATCTGTACTAATTCGTTAAGGCTTGAAGAGTCCTATTTGAATTTCTTATCCTGTTGACATATCACATGTCCTTCTACTTCATCATGGTGATTTCAGATACTGGTCTTCCTTCTGAACTTTGCCTGTGTTTGGGAAAGCTGCTAGATAGCTGGTTAGGATGTCTGTGGTGAGATAAGGAGAAAAATGGCAATTTATTGTTTTTCAGACCAAAGCTATAAGTATGCTTGTTTTCCATATTTGTAAATAAGTGGTTTGGCCATCTGGTCTAATTCTTACTATTTACATTTGAAACAGTTGTCCAGTGTCGCAGGTCATTTTTTATGTACAGGTAATAAGTGAAAGAGTGAAAGTACTGTTAACATGAAGATGCTTGAAAGCTGTTGGATCTCTTGTTCAGAAATTAGTTGGAGGGTAAAGAAGTAGTGATCAAGTAAGAAATAGTGTACTTGTGTACAAGTTATAGTATGTACCTTGCTTGGATATTCTGAGCTGTTTTAATTAAAATTATATTTCTGTTTGAAGGTCTGTCTCAGAGCTGCTATCAAATTCAAAATTTGATGTGAATTATGCATTTGGACGTGTGAAGAGAAGTTTGCTTCATATTGCAGCAAAGTAAGACTTACTTGAGTCCAGTCCAGAAGTTAACAATGAAAGTATTGCCACAAATCTAAGGCACCAATGTAAGCTGGAAAACTCTGTAGTATCAGTTAACATTTTGTTTTTGCACTTCTTTTTTGTGTTTTGTTTGTTCTTTTAGCTATGTGCCTGCCTCATTGAGAGGACAGGTTTTACACATGATATCAAATGGCTTTCCAAATCTTAGCAATGGAAGTCTTGGTAGATAATTTTTTTTATTTTCTGTGAAATCTCAGTCTGTGAAGAAATGTAGCCATTATGTGTATCATGTATAGCTGGCTTACTCTTGCCTTTGTAGATTTAGAGAAACCTTGTCTGCAGGTGCTGCTTGTTTTTGAAGTGTTGTAAAACAGTGCGAAGCACTTGGATGTTCATTGGGAAGCAGCTGTTCCAAAGTACTTCACGTGCCCATAACTGAAGGAGGTATAAATTGGCCACTCACATCTAATAATTTTTTGTATCCTGTATAAAGGACTGAAGTGCAAGTTTTAAATCTGTGACCTAGATTATTTGTTATTTATATGGCTCTTCAATGGGGATAAATCTGTGTTGCCAAGAAACAACCAGATTAACATTATCTTAATAGAAATGAACCAGACAGTTAAACTTTAAACTAATGAACAGATGCTCTATATTTGTGACCCATTTTAAATATCTTGAAAATTCTTACATTCAAACTATTAAAGTAAAAATAAAAGAAATAGTAGTAATACTGCATATAAATAGCAGGTATTTGGGCACAATAAAGGTAGAATTTCCAGCTTTCTAAGCAGACTATTTTAGAAATATCTGTTTCCCAGACATTCCATCTCAGAAGCTGCTTATATAAAATTTACTTAAGAAAGTACTTAAAGAAAAAAGCAAGCAAATCTTTAGCATACATCTTAGATGTATCTTTGAAAAGGGTATTTATTTGTCATAAAACCCAAGAAGGTGTGTTATACTTAGTTTCTGGATTCTCTTATACCTTGGCTAGTTATTGTGTCATTAAGAGGGTGCTGAGATGCTGGTTTTGCAACCTATTGTAGAGCTAGTCTTCAGTTTCTTTGGATTGTTGTGTAACAGTTCTGTCATTGGGAAGACTGGTAACAATGGATAGGCTAGTCGTGATAGATACAAAAATACTGTAAGTTTATCCTCCCAGTCAGCTCTTCCCCTTGAAGATTTCAGGAGTAAGATAAACATATTGTACAAAGTTTCTGTGGTCTTGATGACGTTGGTTATCCTGAAGAGCTGCCATATTATGAGAAGTAAAAGGGAGTTTCAGGTTCAAAACAAATAGCAAAGAAATATTTGTATGAGTTTTAGAATTTTTCTGATATTTAAACTTTTAAAATGTAACTTCCAGACACTGAAATGTAACAAAAAATGATATTGAAATTGTTATTTAATGGAAAATTCAGACCTGTGAATAGATTAAAGATGAGGGAGGTGAGAGGAAATAGTAATCTAAACATTTTAAACTGTTTACATTTTAAACAATTGACAGTCTTAAAGATTCGCTGTTGAATTTTAAAGTCCCTAAAATCACATAGAAGGCTGGCACATATTCGTTAGTACAAGTTCTGATCTTTCAGTTCTCCCTTCCTTTAAGTGTCTTTCTTTTAGCTTTGAACTACAAGGGTATTAAAATGGTTTTGTGTTAAGATTGTGTTAAGCTTTTCTACTGAATGTAATCTGTACATAGTGTTGCTGTTGTCTTTGTATCAATATAGATTTGGTTTGTAAATATCCTTTTCACAGTTTTTCCCTTCTTTGTTTTGTTCTTAGCTGTGGATCAGTTGAATGCCTTGTTCTATTATTAAAAAAAGGGGCAAATCCAAACTATCAGGACATTTCAGGATGCACACCTCTCCATTTAGCAGCAAGGAATGGGTAAGAAAAAGGTTCTAAAAACTCTTAAAAAGGTTTTGTGCATAATGCACTTGAGCTGATGTGTTCTGTAATATTTTTGCATAATTCAAACAAAATACTTTGGTTTTCACTTTTGAAAATAGGGATGGCACACTTATAGGGAACATGGAGGTTAAGATCTGTACTTTGAATATTCAGAAAATAATTTTATATAAATGGAAATTATGTCTGAAGTGCCCATTTCAGTGCCAGTCATTTTAGTGTTTTCTGTTAAGCAGGAGCTTAGTGGTTCTTACAACAGTGGTCAAACAAGGGATGTATTCACCTTCAAGTTAGGTAAGTGAGAAAAGTTTTCGAAGAGGACATTGGATGGTTTGTAAGGGTTCAGAGATTTCAGACCTTTCTCAGTAAAGATTTCCTTGAAGACACTACAAGGAAAGGAATATAAAGTTTGCCTGCACAATATTAGGGGAGAGGAGGAAGAAAACCCAAAACAGTGAGCAAGCGTCTGTTGAAGAACTTTTAAGGTCTTATTTATTGAATTGTAGTATGTGGAAACACACAGCTGATAATGGTAATATTGTCTTTTTCTTTTTAGAGCGTGTATGTAACTGAGTTGTATCATGGCTGGTACTTCAAATGAGGAGGAGGTAGTGCTTAGTGGCTTTTAGGTATGTGGGAGGAGTATTTGTAGGGAGAAGGAGAAAGAAGCAGCCAAGTGGTACATGATGAAATGTAGTAATACACACAGGAGACAGTTATCTGGAAAGGAGGCATGAGAACGGTGTGGGAGATACCAAATAAAAAGGAAGAGTAAGAATAAACTCTTAAGGGTAAGCCACTTAGAGCATTAGAGAGTGTTAGGAGACCAAACAAAACATGATGTAGGAAACCCACTCCTACTTTCATTAAGGCAGTTATTGTACTTGCCAAAGATTTACATAGTGTTCCAGTGAGTGTCTCATTAAACAATGATTTAGTTGTGTACCATAAATGTGTTCACTGAAGTGTACAGACAGGGATGAACTTCCTGGACTTCCATTAGCTGACCTCTAGCTTCTTGTCTTGAGAGCGTGGTTCATGCTGAGCTGAAGCTGTTAGAGTGGTGATGAAGTACTTCTAGACTTTCCACAAAAACATTCAGCTACACAACTATGTTTTTAGCCCTGTGCTGTTGTATGCTGCACTTGCACTGTATGAGTCTGTTGCTACTGATGACTCTTTTTCTCAGTACTATACTCCTTATAGCATAAAACTACCTGCTGTGATTTGTACAATGATGAATGAGAGCGAGTGGAGCTCTGAGAAGATACTTGGTCTTCATTAATTATTTTCCCTGTCTGTGTTTTAATGTATTCTTTTGTTTATAGCCAGAAGAAATGTATGAGCAAACTGCTGGAATACAGTGCAGATGTCAACATTTGTAATAATGAAGGCTTGACTGCAGTAAGTGCTATTGATTGTCATGATGCTCTTAAAACTAACTCAGAATTTGAAGATTCTCATTTCTTAAGCTTCTGCCATCTTACATGTAAATAAACAAAATTGCTGTGGGCCTAGTGCCCATAATCAAAAGATGTGATCAAGTATCTAAGCGTATGATAATACTTTTCGAAGCTGCTTTTTGTGAAAATTTTCACAATAGATTTAAAATAATATTTATGAAATGCTTAAATCATTGCTAAAGGAAACTTATATCTCATCATTTTGTACTTAGATTCATTGGTTGGCTGTCAATGGACGAACAGAGTTGCTTCATGATCTTGTTCAGCATGTCAGTAATGTCGATGTTGAAGATGCAATGGGACAGACAGCCCTTCATGTAGCTTGTCAAAACGGTCACAAGACAGTAAGTTTCTAGATGTTATTAATACATTGGATTTGTAAAGAGTTGGATAATGCCTCAGTGGTGTTGTGTGTGGTTTTTTATAACCTTCAGGCTGTTTATGCACGTGATAATGGTTAGAAGTGTGAAGAATTCTATTGTTTGTCTTAGTATTGACTGCATACACTTCCATGAGAATAACTAGTTTGTTCTTGTGGAGATGATTGATCTTAGTGTTTATGGGAGTTTAAGTGACCTACTGTATCCTATTCAGCTATTCTGTAATACTGTTATTGCCTTGTTGATTGCAGGTTTTGATGTAATGTGAAACATTTGAAGATGTTGTTCCTTTTTAGAATGGTTGATTCATAATTGTACTAGGACTATGTGCTTCTGAAATCTGAAATGATCTTAATTTACTGTGAATAAAAAATGAACGCAGACTTGGGTCAGTTAGATATATTTAACATTAGAAGTAAACCAGTTTGCACAGACTTCATTTATTGATATGTGTGAATAATTTTTAGGCCTCGCCTTGCATTAGGGCTGACTATTTACTCTCAAGAGTACAGCTCTGGATGCTTTACTTGAACTGCATTACAGCCATGTACAGTAGTGCTCTTGAATTATGCAGTCTCCAGGACTATTTGCTGTTAAAAATTATCTTTCTACCCAGATCCTTTCTGTTGTCATTGTCAGAACTTGAATCTGGAAGACCGAATTCTGAGAAACTGTTAATATAAACCTATCTACTTTATGTGATTGGAATATAGCAGAAGTTGTTTAAGAGTTTGCTTAATGTTTTCATATTTTAGAATTTGCTTACATATTTCTTCTGTTTTAGTGTGTGTTTAAAACTTCAGCTTGTGATAAGGCTGTTTATGGCTGTCACTAACTTGAGGTTTACTTCTCTAAAAAGTGTTGTTTTCCTTTATAACTGACTTGTAGTTCCAGGGGTCTTTGGGATTAGCTCAAGTTCAGTAAAAGCATTGTTATTCAAACAGGAAGCTCAAAGGAAGCTTTATGAGCTCTGACAGCCATGATTTTCCATCTAGTGTGTAGGAATTTTGGTTTTGAGATTCATTACTGAAAATTAAATCCTTCAGTGTAATCAGAGATGCATGACACTAAATAGTTGCAAGCCAATAGACTTTTCTGTTGCTCTCTTTCTAATGCTGCTGTTTTCTTCTATTCTAGACGGTGCAGTGTTTGCTAGACAGTGGTGCAGATATAAACAGACCGAATGTGTCAGGGGCAACTCCACTCTATTTTGCTTGCAGGTATGTATTATTAACTTTTGAATACTGTGGTAGAAGTTTTGGTTTTTTTTTTTTTTCTGCAGTAACAATGATTAGAAAGCATAAAAATTAGGAAACAAAAGTTGGCTGCTCTATAATCTTGCCTCATGTTTGAACATAGTTTAGTGTTTCATCTAAATACTTAGTACTGCAGGCTTATGTACCTCTTTTTAACAGACATGTTAAACACATAGCCATGCATGTTCTAGTATGAGCCATAAATCAATGACTGCTAAACTTTTTTCTGAATAACTGAGATCTACCAACTTAGATTATTTTGAGTAATATTTTTCTTTCTATGGCTATTTTAAACCAGGGTATCTTATGGTAAGGATTTGAGTGGCTCTTTTAATGGGTCAGTGTTCTTCACGTACAGCTCTTGGGGCTGGTTAAGTAATGATAACCTTCCTGCCTCTTCCTTCCCAGGTAGTTTGTAAACAGAATTCTGCCAGGCAGACCACTTTCATGCCATTTTTAAGATACCATCTACATTAATATTTTTTTCTTTTGTGGAATGACCCCCTATGTTGAGAAGTAAGAATAATTAAGCTAGTGATTACTACATTCATCTGTTTCTGAAAATGCAGCCTTTTATAAGGCAAGTTTGACTATTTTTTAATGTGCGTTATTGTGTGCACATGAAATGTGCATGTGTGCCTTAATGTTGGATTGAAATTATATTTTTGCTTTGATCAGTTCTCTTCACAGTTTAGTTTCATTTCAAAACTAAAATGATAAAAGGACTTTTTGTTTTAATTGGAGCATTTCTGTTATTTGTTAGAACATTTAGAATTTTATAGTCCCTGTGCTTTGGTTAAGTAGTTCACAGAATCACAGGATGGTTTATGTTGGAAGGGACCTTTAAAGATCATCTAATCCAACTCCCAAGGTTGCAAGGGATTTCCACCATCCATGCTTCCACAGGTATTGTGAAAACAGGGATTTAAAATCCCAATCTATTCAGCCTTTGTTGCACCCCCTGAGCCTCCTTATGACCCTTCTGTGTTTCAATACTGTACAGGTGCTGGGATGGGAAGAGGAGGTGTCTGGCTGGAATCAGCTCATACTCCTCATTTACTACCTGTGTTTGTTTTACTTTTAGACTAGCACTTTAGTGACTTGGGAACTCATGCGATTGCCTCACTTTCTGAGACAGCAGCGCAATACAGTTTTCCCTTGGACAGAACCACCTTGAACAGAGAGAGAAAATATATTTCTAAAATGTCTGTCCCCCCTTTTACCAGAATTATCCACCCATCCAGCTTATCTTCTCCTACCTGCACCCATGACTATATGTTAATATAAGCAAAAGGAGAAATGGACTGACCTGGTGGCCTACCTGGTGGCTGGTCTTCTGGGAGACCTGGTCTCTGGAGTTAGTGTATGCTGACTCTTGGCAGTTGAGTAGAAGGCAAGTGGAGAATAAATAGCTGCTGGGTAGAGTGCCTTGGTGCTTGATTTAGGGACTGGCATTGGCATCCACTTTAAAAGAAGTAAGCAGGTTGCCTTGGCTTGGAGGTTTTCCATGAGAAAGGAATGTGCTGCAAGGATAGTGGTGATGTTCTTTTAGAAGTGAACACTTGGAGCAGCAGGAAAGATAGAATGAACAGGTTGTGTAGTGGAAGTTAACATCTCAGAAGTGTCTGTGGTGGTGCTGCCACTGTCCTGGTTTCGGCTTGGACAGAGTTAACTTTCTTCATAGTAGCTAGTAAGAGGCTATGTTTTGGATTTGGCTGAGAAGGCAGCTGATAACATACTGATGTTTATAGTTGCTGCCAGGACAGTCAAGGACTTTTCAGCTTCTCTGCTGTACCAGTGTCTGCAGGTGCAGGAGAAGCTGTGAGGGAGCATAGTCCAATTACTAGCCTAGGAGTTGATCTTGGGTTTAGGACTGAGGCCCAAATTGGTCAGTGACATATTCCATATCATGCACGTCATGCCCAGTATATAGATGAGAGTCTGTCCGGAAGTGCTCTCTCTCCCCTTCTGGGTCGCCCTTCTCTTGGCGTCATCTCGCTCCCTTGGTCAGCTCTCCGTCTCAGATGCTTGGGCCCTTATCTCCTTTCTGGGATTGTGGTTTCA